AACTGGTAATACCACACGGTGTTATATTCAGGGGGTGCAACTCATTTAGGCCAAACTGGGATAGTGTTTAAAATCCACTATGTCCGTTGGTGGGCTGTAGTCGTTAGGTGGGGTGGAAGGTGGATGTAATGACATAAAAAGTTTGACTACTGTAGTGCAGGGTATTATGGCGGTCATGGCCGAACCGAAAAGGAAGCATAATATATTGCGAATTTAAATTTGATTGATATTGTTAACTTGGTTGCATTCATTGGGCCCGTTCACTTTCATTTTTGAATGTGAATTAATTAAATATTTATAAAGATATTAAACTCTTTTGTCTGGTGGTACTTTTCCCGTTAAGATATGTTTGCTAGAAGTAAGGGAATTCCCATAAAATTCTTTCAGTGACTCATTGCGTCAGAAAATCCCTAATTCCGTTCACGTCTCGTATCGGTTATGCTTAAAGACGGCGGGGTTGTCGGAAGTATCCCTAATATAGCATTTCTGCATTTATATATGTAATTTAAATAGTAAAATTCCATTATTTTTCTAAAAATCATGAACTTATATTTTCAGATTTAAAGCTGGGAGCTTATTTTTTACTTTTTAATTAAAACAATTATTGTTACTCAGACTGAAAATTAACCAGACCATAATCAAAAAGTAGAAATTTGATTTGCAATATTTATTTGGTAAACGTGGCAACGTTGCATTTATTTCTAGAAGTGTGTGTAGACAACACTATTTAGAAGTACTTACAACGTTGTCACGTTTACCAGATACATTTTCTCAAATAAAATTTCGATCTGGTAATATTCCGCTTGAGTAATACTAATTGTTTTTATTAAAATTTAAAAAAGGTAGGGCTTCCAGCTTTATCTGAAAATATAAACACATTATTTTTAAATAATAATATATTTTTATCATGTAAATTTCTTTAATAAATGCAGAAGAGGAATGATGGTGCAATGATACATCCGACAACCGCGCCCTTTTAGCAAAAATATCTTAACGGAAAAAGTACCACCAGACAAAAGAGTTTAATATCTTTATAAATATATAATTAATTCACATTCAAAAATGAAAGTGAACGGGCCCTTTGTGTTATTTTCCTGGAAGTGTACCAGATGGAATGGCTTTAGAAATCGAATAGTAATTTGGTTACATCTTCTCATGTCTTTAACTAAACTATAAGTTTGGACACAAAATAAATATTTAGCGAAAGAAATGCCTTCAACTTCAATTGATTTGGACATTTTTTTTTAAATTCTCAATCTGTTGAAAATACTACTCGTACTTCAGCACTTTGCTTAGATACCTACTTTTACAAACTCTGTGAGATGGTGAAGGCGAACTTTAAAATGTGTAACGAAGTTTCTAAATATAAAGTGCTTCATCTGCAACTCTTCACAGTTCTGTGACAGCTGGTGGATAAGTGCTGCAGAGCTCCCAAAAAATGCTAAATACATAATCTAACTCAAATATTTCCTATTACCAAAAAGAAAATATACAGTGCGTCCATAAAGTAACGCATAAATTCATTATTGGCTAAATGAACAATAAAATTAGGAATTCCCAAAACAGGTCGATTTTTGATTTCAATTTACTATTGTTTTAAATCATAATCTAATATACAGGGTGAACCACTTTCGTGTAATGACGTCATCACCATTTTTTTCAAATGGAACCCCCCCTTTTTTTTCAATTTCCAAATTGCCTTTGCTGAGCTGATTCCAAAAATGTATAATATGTTGCTTCAAATTGGTACAGGGTGGGCAAAAATGCAAAAATTTACTTACAAAGTAATGAAAATAACGAATAAACGTAATAAACACATTAAATGAAATTACGTATTGTTATTACAACTACTTTGATAAACTATCAAGAACATACAGCATTATTCTTAATAATTGTATCTTACAGCTTTTATTAGTGATCCAAGCCCCTGGACTATAAAAATCTTTTTGTTTGGCATTATCTTTTACCAGTTTTTTTTATTTGACATACCAGTTTGTTTATTACATTCAGTAACGTATTACTTTCCATAAACAATTTTCATATTTTTTTTGCATTTTTGCCCACCCTGTACCAATTTGAAGCAACATATTATACATTTTTGGAATCAGCTCAGCAAAGGCAATTTGGAAATTGAAAAAAAAGGGGGGGGGTTCCATTTGAAAAAAATGGTGATGACGTCATTACACGAAAGTGGTTCACCCTGTATATTAGATTATGATTTGAAACAATAGTAAATTTAAATCAAAAATCGACCTGTTTTGGGAATTCCTAATTTTATTGTTCATTTAGCCAATAATGAATTTATGCGTTACTTTATGGACGCACTGTATAATATTATATTCGCATTCTAAAAATGTTTAAAAATAACTGCTGGCGAAGCGCCGGCATCGCTGGCAGCCGTGTTTGTAAAGTCGACCAGTGGAATAACCTACCTACTTACCGACACACACGTTTGCACATGCTGTCGACAGGCTGAGACATAATGAAAATGTGTCAAAGAATAGGTATATTTTATCCATAATTATTAATTGCATTAAGTTTTGTGGAGCTTTTGAACTGGCTCTTCGGGGACATGATGAGAGCGACTCTTCCGAGAATCCGGGGATATTTTGTGGACTTATAAATTTTTCGACTAAATTAGATGTAACTCTAAGTGACCACCTAAAAAATTCTTCGGTATTTAAAGGCACCTCTAAAGAAATACAGAACGATCTGTTGCAGTGTATGCTCGATGTCTGTCATGAACAAATAATTGAGGAAATTAATAATTTTCCATTGATGGCGATCATGGCGGACGAAACAACAAAACTCAACTGGTAGATATGTTCGCAATGGTGGGGCAATTGAACGTTTTTGGAACTACTTAATTCCTGAAAAATGTGATGCAGAAACACTTAGTAAAACAATTTTAACTGTTGTAGATCCTTTAATTCAAAATTCATCGAACCAACTGATTGCACAAAGTTATGATGGAGCCGCGGTGATAAGCCGCCAACACGCAGGAGTTCAAGTATTAATTAAAAAAAGTATACTTTTACTCACTATGTATATTGCTATGCCAATCAGTTAAATTTAATTATGCCTAAAGCTGCTTCTGCAAATTCACAAGTACGTGTATTTTTTGGAAATTTACAAGACATCCCGGGCTTTTTTAATGATTCACCCCAGCGAGTAGAAGTCTTAAATAAGATTGTAAAGAGAAGGATCCGCCACGGCGCTACAACCCGTTGGAATTTTAATATAAGGACCATTAATGTTGCGTACAAAAATAGAGCGTCTCTCATTGAGTGTATGCATGAAATAGAGGAACAATTCACCAACAACACCGTCTGTAGTGCAGCCGCCTCTATTTGCCGTAAATTAAATGATCCGATCTTCAATTTTTGGCTGACTTTTTTTCATCATGTGATGCCCCATGTAGACATCCTATTCAATCAACTACAGCAAAAAACCCACTAGTAAAATACGCTATCGATAATTTTGAACGCAGTATCACTCAAGTACGAAATAATATTGATAGCATCATTACTGAAGCATTAGATATAATAAGCGACCAGTCACCAGAAAATAAACGCAAGCGCCCAGTAACAGCAAATTTGATCATCGGATTTCTGATTTAGAGGTGTGTGACGTTATCCTTAATTGTGCAAAAGATCGACTTGCTTTTAAAGAGCATCTAGTAGTTGCCTCACTTTTTTTTTCGGAATGCTTTGGAGTATTGTGGTAAATTTCCCGAAAATAAACTCACTTCCGCATGCTCTTTTTATCCCATACTTGACAAAGAACGATTGCGAACTGATTTTTAATATCAAACAATCTAGAAGATACGTTAAAGGAGACTAGACAATTATTAGAAATTGTGGTAACAACTCCTATGACAACATCAGAGACCGAACGATGTTTCTTAACACTAAATCGAATCATAACGTTTCTCAGAAATTCAATGACCGAAGATCGTTGAACAGCCTTTCCTTGCTATCTATTAAAAAAAGTTTACTTCCAAAATAGACAATTTTAATGAAAAAAGGTATTACAAAATTTGTGAACCAAAAAGAATGTAGGATAGACTTAATTTATAAAAAATAGACTGTAAAATCTGTTCAAATTCTTCACGTAATTTTTTTTAAACATTTTGTATTTTTGTCGGTCCATCATGGTATGAATCAGAATCTGAATATGAAAAAATAATTTATTTAAAAAAATCCAAAGTAAAAGCAATATCGATAGTAAAATGTAATGTTATTCTTGATGTCTCTCTATAGTCGTAAAAAAAAATATTTTTTTTGTTTCTTCATCCATTGGTTACCAAGGTTCCAATAGGTAGGGCGCTAGTGCGTACGGCCATCGACCATGATCATAGTGTATAATATGATGTTATTACAACGTTGCTTCCTGACATTGAACTTGACCAACCTCCAATAAAACTGACTAAGAAGCCTTAAACTAAAATGACGTAAAAGTCAAAACTAAAGGTAAGACTATGTGGTGCTATGATGTCGCCACAATTTTGCTTGAAGAAAATAGAGTACAGTAAAATAGTGTTTGGTGATTCTTTTTTTTTGTGTGGCAATCGTTCCAGCAATCCATCATTCAGCAAGCACTATAAAATCGATGGGACTTTGACTAAGAAGACAACCCCTTCTGAAAGGTAAGCTTTTTTTTGCAAAAATTGGAGAAAACCTTAAAATTTTTACCACGAGCCTCCACTGACAGTTATTGTATAAGGTAACAAGAAACTCAGGATGGACTAAGAAATATGCAAGAGATTAATTATTTTAAATAAACAAAATCCTTTGTATTTCATATAATGATTGTAATACAAAGCAACGTAGGCTTTCACCATCTTCAGTGCCAATTGTAAGAGTAACAAACAATGATTTAAATTTTTGTAAATTAGTCGAATATAAAAAAAATCCTTAATATATCAGTCGTTTTGATATAGGAATAAAAACATTCATTACATTAAAAAAATATGCAAAATCAACGACACCGTTACTTACTGAATAAAAATCAATTCTTTCATCATCTTCTAAAGACGTTCCATCATCTGCTACTCCTAGTTCTGTAATTAATATATCTTGATCTCCATATTGTTGCTTGATCCAATTTAATACCTTTCTAGCTCCCCAAGGAACAATCTAAAATATAAAAAATTCATTTTTTTTGAGAAAATTATAAAGGTAAATCAACTACAGAAATGTAGGTAATAAGCCAAAATTTGTGTTTCACTGCTTATTGATGACGACGTACTTATATTAATGTGGTTGTGCTTTTCTGAATCATTAAAACGTCTACTTACAGCCCAAGAATTAGATCCCAGCTCCCAATTCGGCATTCTGGAGTTTATTACGCGAACATCATTTTCGTAATGAGTTTCAGTATATGGTGCTTCTGGCTCTTCTCCTGCCAAGAATGTAAAATAGTGGTTTATTGCTAAGTAATCGTGAGTTCCTTTTATAAACTTTATTTCTTCTGAAGTGAATTGTGGAAGGCGAGTTTTCTTATAACCTTCTTTTTTACTCCTTTCAGCTACCCGAGCCTTAACTACTGGCGGCCAGTCTCCATTAAATATCGGATGGTAGTACATGCCGCACTAAAATCAGAGAGCATTTTTACTTTTGTTTATGGACCATTTATGAACCATCTCGGTAACTAAGCCCTTTAAGGATTCATGTTCCTATATAAAAATTCATCAATTACCAAGAACTAACCAGATGCGTGGAAAATTGCTGGTTATCCTATTTCCTAAGTCAGGAAAACCTCCGAATGAAGTGTCATCATTTAGACCTCTATGACTGTTACCAATAATAACTAAGCTATTTGAAAAGCTACTACTAAAACGAATAAAATCAATGGCCCCAATTTGGGTTTAGAAACAAACACTCGACAAAGATCAAGAACACAGGAAAGCCGACATGATCGAAAAATCATTCGAAGATAAATGCGTATATAGGTACTCATCTATATGTCTTGATGTAGATACATCGGGTGAGAGGGGATGAATCGCTCCCTGGATACGACACTTTTTCCACGACCTTAATTTTACCCCTCGATATTGCTATCCTCGACTCAACGCTATGTCATTTTAGCCAGATAAGTGATAATTCCCAAAGGTTCTGTTCTTCAGGAAGGTAAGTTGAAATCTGAGAGCAATGAAAATCTATTTCCCGGGACAGATTCGCGGCTCTATTACTCACAGAATGGTTTACGATTGTGATTACCTGAGGGGAGCATTTCTCTGTGCGTAAGAGTAAGTTTTACTAAGATTCTCAGGGAAATGTCGACATAAATCCTCAACAGCTCTGATTCTTACCAGTTAACTTTCGAGAAACTAGTCAGCTAATTAGCTAACATTTACTTAAAAATTAGCTCTCTAAGAAATCACTCTAGATAAGCGGCGAAAATACACATACACATGTGACGATGTGAGATTCAGAACTCTTTCTGATTTTAGTTCTAGCGTTTACTAAACTGATCAAAAAAAGTTAAGGATATTGTGTATTCACTATGAAGGAATTTTTCTAGAAAAAATGTGATATAGCTATTAATACCTGTTCCAAAATAAAGAATTTTGAAACATACAAAAGCCAGGTGTTCATTTATAACTGCCATTATAGGTGGACGTGACCAAAATCATGTATCTCGCGCGAAAAACTGGTCGCAGTGACGTAATCATATGTCCACCTCTTTCATAAAAACATAAAAAGCCAGCATAGCGATTCGAGCTTTCTCACAGTAAGGGTCGTCTCTTCCATACATAAAAAAAGGAAAATTCTTTGAGCAACGATAATGTAAAGTCCTAGTACTTAAATATGTAAGCAGTAGTTAGTAAAAAACAAATGTAAATATGTACAAAGTTTTGTCGTGCAGCGTTTGTGCACAATAAAGTGTTTTAAAAATGTTGAGCTTTCATTGTCCACATGGAGATGGTTGCAGCCAGCGTCTACAGGAGTCAGTCCATTTTGGTAAGCGTGCCTTATGGCCGTATTTAATATTTGTGGGGGATTCAACCAATGGAAATACATCAATACCTATGTAATTTACGTTTAAAAAAATTTTGTTTGTAAACATAAAATTGTGCCCAAACAGAAAAAAGCATTATCACAAAAAATGTAAATTTTATTTTTGTAAAGTTTAGTTTTATTTGTGTGCTGCTAAGCGCAATTTGCGATATTGTGGTTATTGTGTTATCGAAAAAATAACGGTAGAGGAAGCAAATCAAGCTATTGGGTTGCTTCTTGGAGGTGCGCGACAGATCGATGTGGCTGATCGGTATAATGTCTCTCAAAGTGTAATTTCTCGACTTAATAACCGATTTTATGAGACTGGATCTGTCATGGACAGGCATAGAGAGGGTAGACCAAGATCAAAAAATGCTAGGAAAGACCAAAGATTAGTGAGAGGAGCCAGGATGGATCCTACAACAAATTGCACGTTGCTCAGCCAGCACCTTTTCGTTGCCAGCCGAATTCGTATTACCCCTAGGACAGTTTTAAACCGATTGAATGAAGCAGGTTTACGTTGCTATAGGCCTATAAGACGTCCTCCACTGACCGCAAGTCCGTAAAGCACAACGTTTGCTTTGGTGTAATGAAAGTGCCAACTCGAATGATGAATGACGCACTGTGAGGTTCAGTGATGGAAGTCGCTTTTGTCTTCGTGCTGACAGACATACAGTTCGTGTCTGGAAACCAAGACATTAAAGAGTTAATGACCAATATGTTCAAGAAGTGCATCCATTTGGAGGTGGAGGTGTAATGGTCTGAGGTGGAATTTTCTATGGAGGTCGAACGGAGTTGTATATTTGTGAAGGTACCATGACAGGTGAAATTTATGCCCACGACATCATTGATAACCTGGTGAATGATTATCGCTGAAATTTGAAGCTCAATTTCAGATTTCTGGATGATAACGGTCGCCCGCACAGAGCCAGAGTAGTACAAGAACGGCTAGCATTCCATGAAATCAATAATTTCTCAGTACCTCCGCTCTCTCCTGATTTAAACTGCACCGAACATGCCTGGGACATGCTGAAAAGGGAAGTTATTGCTCATCAACCTCCTGTTCAGGGCGTACGGTCATTGAGGCAAGTTCTTCCACATCTGTGGGATACCTTGGATCACAATTATTTGGATCATTTAATTTTAAGTATGCCTCGTCGAGCTGAAGCAGTAATAGCCAATAGAGGTGGAATTACATGCTATTAATAATTTTTTTCTTTTTGATAATTATCTGTTTTGTTACACTATTAAAGAAAAGTCGCATTTAAATTCTAATTAAAACATTTTTTTAGTTAAACAAATGTGTTTCATTTTTGAAAAAGATGTGAGTAAATGTACGTTATACAACTTTTTTCGAAAACTAGTTTTTCTCAGTGAATTCACTATATCCCTAACTTTTTTCGATCAGTTTAGAATCTACTCTTTCCATAACGCCATATATGGCGCCATATAACGCCATATATAGCTTCCTCTGAAATGCAAATCTCTCGCGCCAAAACTGAATTATGTTCTATGAAATAATGAACATAATAGAAAATAAAATTGAAAAATTAAATTAATTTTTAAAATAAAATAACATTCTTTAACGAGCTAATAATTGTTTATTGCTTGGGCCAAGAGCGGAAGCTATTTGACCCATTGCTATTTGGAGATCTGCTCTTTTAATACATGGTGGGAATCTGAGAATTAAAAAAAATTAATACCTATTTGAAACAAACAGGAATGGATCTGGTTAGCGCAGGAAATTGAGTTGCAATAATTAATTAGACATTTATTAAGACGACTGAAAACTTTACGTGTAGCACCTATTAGAGACTGTTATATTCCCTAACTAATATGCAAATTAATTAAATTAAATGACCATTTTGGGTACAGTAAAGCTATGTTTCATGGAAGTTGTATAATTGTGTATGTTAATGTATGTTAATGTATGTGTGTTTTAGGTGTAGTTACAGTAAAGAGCTAAAAAGTGTTATTACGTTCAAAGGGGCTGACTCGGACAAGAAACGTTCATTTTTCTCTAAAATCACAGGGCGAAGGGTCTGCCCTATGACAGTAGCCCGCATTTGACAAGATTTGGTTCACTGGTCTGACACAGAAACTTAAAAAATGCCTCTTAGACAATATTTCGACACTCTTCATTCATATCTGACGGGAAGAATATTTAGAGTAAAACAAGAGGAGGCATACGCGGAAATAAAAGAAATTAAAGCAGGTGTCCCACAGGGAAGTGTGCTAGGACCGGTTATTTATTATACAACAACAATGTATTAAAATAGCAACATTTGTGGATGGTACTGCAATATTGACAGTTGGCCGAATGAGTGGGTAATTAGTTCATAAGAATTTTAAATTAAAATTTTAGTACTGACTAGTAACAAAAAAAAACCTAAAAAACCAAAAAACCAAAAAAACCAAAAAAGCCAAAAAAGCCAAAAAAAAAACCCAAAAAAACCAAAAAAAAAACAAAAAAAAACAAAAAACCAAAAAAAAACAAAAAAAAAACCAAAAAAAAAAAAAATAAACAGAAAATACGAATACGTTTACGAAATATCTGTGTACACAAATTAAATTTGGTCAATACTGTATACATTGACTTAAAATTTCATACTCACAATCAAATTAAAACTTTTAGAAAAATTCCAGCAAAAATGCTAACAAAATTAGTAAAACATGAACAATTTTGAATATAAATATGGCTATTTTCTAGTATTAAACATTATCTTCTGTTTTTAGTATACATTTACTTAAAATTTCTTCTTTACTATCTGATAAGAAGTTTTAGAAAAATTCCAACAAAAATGCTAACAAAATTAGTACAAAATGAACAACTCTGAATTTAAATATGACTATTTACTAACATTATACAATCTCATCTCTTCTTAGTTAATCATTTTGGATTGTTTTCCTTCAATGGCATATATTTAATTATTTTAAAGGAATATTTAAAAGGGAAAGCTACGACCATTTTAACGCCTGTTTTTCTCGACTAAACTTGAATAGTAATTAAATCTAGAAAAGCGTGGCAAGATGGTACAAAACCGAGTATCTACGAGATGTGGATATAAATAACCTCAAATTGCTGCTGTCTTTCTGCTGCTGCTACATCTTCAGGATCTTTGGTTTCAGGCTCATACCACTGGCAGTCCATTACAATTGACATTGGTGCTAAAAAACAACAATTACTTTTCTTATATTGAATAATATCTAAAACGAACATTAATTTAGCTTTAAAGATTTGTTGCGAGAAAGGTAATAACTTACCTTTATAATTTGGAAATTCCTTCTTGTACATGCGATATACTGCAGCATGAGCTTTAAGTATAACATAAGAACATTGGTAGTCCAATATTCCACTTTCTTTAATTCCAGGGGCCAGAATACCTTCACCATATGAGAACCGGCAAAGTATTCTTGGTTCGTTAATGGTTATCCATCTACCAACTTGAGGAAAATTTTGAATGACAACTCTAGTGAAATTAACATAATGGTCTATAAGCTCTGGGTTTGTCCAAGATAAACCATCATAAAATAATTTCAAAGGAAGATCCCAGTGAAAAAGTGTTACTACTGGGATCAATCCGCATCTTAAAATTTCTTGTATTAAGTTGTTGTAGTATCTCAAACCTTTTTCGTTAATTTTGTCGACGTAACCATTTGGAAAAAGTCTAAAATATTTATGTTATTTTTAATAGATTGACATCCACGGAATATAGGTCTATAATTAACAGTGAGTTTCTAGCTTTGTGTATCGAAGATTGGAGTGATCGGCAGTATTTATGATTATTTTATTTATACATTTTCTAGCACCGTGAAATTAAATTGAGAGAAAAACTTTTATGCTCTAACTGGAATGCCACTTTATTACCAGCAACATATTAATAAATCGACAGAATAAAACTGGTGTTAAAATTGCTGAATTACGTATCTTGGTAGTCGAGAAAGAAGTCTGGTTGTAAGCTTTGCAAACCAAAAACTGAAATATGATTTTTACCGTGTTGTTGAATAGAAAGCTAAAATTTTAGATTTAGTTTTGTTTAACATTGTTATGACTGTGAGGTAAATTGCGCATTTTGTAGCTGACAAAATTGTAAATCATGTATTTAAGATGTTTTATGTTTCACTTAGTCATAACGTTAGGAAACCTTTCGATATTCAAATACTTGAAAGGGCCAAAAGCCGTGAAAATATGGAAATATATTTTCTGGGTTGCGTGGAAGAGCGCTGCTTATTTGCTGGCTCAATCTTTGAGCTCGCCAGTAAGTGCGAACGTCGCCTTTTGTCTTTCAGTATTTTTTTTATGTATATTTATATAATTTTGTATAATAATTTGTATGTATTGAAAGCAATAAAGTCATTATTATTATTATTATTATTATTATTATTATTATTATTATTATTATCATTATTATTATTATTATTATTATTATTATTATTATTATTATTATTATTATTATCATTATTATTATTATTATTATTATTATTATTATCATTATTATTATTATTATTATTATTATTATTATTATTATTATTATTATTATTATTATTATTATTATTATTATTATTATTATTATTATTATTATTATTATTATTATTATTATTATTATTATTATTATTATTATTATTATTATTATTATTATTATTATTATTATTATTATTATTATTATTATTATTATTATTATTATTATTATTATTATTATTATTATTATTATTATTATTATTATTATTATTATTATTATTATTATTATTATTATTATTATTATTATTATTATTATTATTATTATTATTATTATTATTATTATTATTATTATTATTATTATTATTATTATTATTATTATTATTATTATTATTATTATTATTATTATTATTATTATTATTATTATTATTATTATTATTATTATTATTATTATTATTATTATTATTATTATTATTATTATTATTATTATTATTATTATTATTATTATTATTATTATTATTATTATTATTATTATTATTATTATTATTATTATTATTATTATTATTATTATTATTATTATTATTATTATTATTATTATTATTATTATTATTATTATTATTATTATTATTATTATTATTATTATTATTATTATTATTATTATTATTATTATTATTATTATTATTATTATTATTATTATTATTATTATTATTATTATTATTATTATTATTATTATTATTATTATTATTATTATTATTATTATTATTATTATTATTATTATTATTATTATTATTATTATTATTATTATTATTATTATTATTATTATTATTATTATTATTATTATTATTATTATTATTATTATTATTATTATTATTATTATTATTATTATTATTATTATTATTATTATTATTATTATTATTATTATTATTATTATTATTATTATTATTATTATTATTATTATTATTATTATTATTATTATTGACCTTATACCGGACACATGCTAATGTTCACATGTATGATACACGGAATGCTAAGAATATTGTACCAACATTCTCTCGTCTTGAGATTTCTAAAAATAATAAATTAGATGTTGAATTGTATAATAAATTTGTTAGATTTAATAAAACAAAAAATATTAATAACTTATCTGTAAATGGATTTAGGAATGTAGCTAAAACATTTCTTAATACTCATTGTTTCTATTCTGTAAATGAATACAATTGTTTTTTGTCTTAGTAAATATTATGTAATCAACCTGAAATGTACATATGTATGTAAAGTGGTTAATAAATGGTATGGTATTATTATTATTATTATTATTATTATTATTATTATTATTATTATTATTATTATTATTATTATTATTATTATTATTATTATTATTATTATTATTATTATTATTATTATTATTATTATTATTATTATTATTATTATTATTATTATTATTATTATTATTATTATTATTATTATTATTATTATTATTATTATTATTATTATTATTATTATTATTATTATTATTATTATTATTATTATTATTATTATTATTATTATTATTATTATTATTATTATTATTATTATTATTATTATTATTATTATTATTATTATTATTATTATTATTATTATTATTATTATTATTATTATTATTATTATTATTATTATTATTATTATTATTATTATTATTATTATTATTATTATTATTATTATTATTATTATTA